GGTTGGCAATAATCCAGTTTAAATTATGTTCAAAGATAGAAGCGTTTGTGAATTATATACTACAACGACTTGCCTTAGTCTTGTAGCAGTAATGTGACTCGCATCTGCAGCGGTTCTGATCCATAGTGCTGCAGAATAAACAGGATGGTGGGGCTTTTCATCCGCTTGTAGAGTCTAGTCTTTCTTAGTTTTACGATCATCATATATTTTTCTGTGCACCACTTGATCGTGAGACTGCTACCCGTTAGCTTTAGGATTAGCCAATCTGCGTGTAGCTGCACTTTTGATCCCAAACTTTGGATCGGTTCTGCCTTTGTGCCTTTGCTGGTTCCTTTATTTTCCTCCACTGAATCCAGATGACCACACGAGGTGCTTACAGGAAAGTTTTTGAACAAAGAATGACTGGGAGGGAGCTGTCAAGTGGAAATGCACGCTCTTGACCCAGAAGAACTCATTCCAATGAAGAGTCATGTCTGTAACGTCTGCGCCTCGTGATTTTTATCTTGAGAGGTGCTATAGGAATGATACTTTCTTCTTCTTCTTCTTCTTCACACTGTGCGCCAGTATAAAGCATTTTTTTTACACGTAACTTACTTTTGTTCAATACATTTCTGGGGAAAATAGTAATTCAAAGATGTTGCACCAGTGTTACGTTTAAAAATAGACAGACACGCGCACAGTTTTTTTTTTTTTTTTTGTCGCACTGTACAGCCCTGCTCTGGTATGGAAGAGCCTGGGGGAAAATCAGGACATAAATAGCACCAACCATAGACAAGTACCAACTAGCGAGAAAAGCAATTTTGATCTTCTTTTTCTGCAGCGGTTTTGGCGCTTTTCGGTGCGCCGCTGCTGATACAGCGCCTCTGTAGTGGTGCAACGCTGCAACTGCAGTTAAAATAACATCAATATAGCTGGGGGCAGAATGAAATCAGACTGGGGCAGCACAAAATTAGCTAGAGGCAGCCGCCACGCAAATTTGAATGCAGGAAAAACCCTGGCAAAATAATGGCCACCAAAAGTTCCCAAGCGTGGACATTTCTGCAGCTTACTGCTCTCCACTGGGATAAGTCAAACACAGAGATGTCATTTCACCACGTGTGTGTGTGAGACGACCAATGTGACTTTAACTTTGGCCGGTGGAAAGATAGCAACTGATTCATCACCACAGGCGAAAACACGAGTACCAAGAACGTCTTAAAACTAAGATCCGTATCCCTTCTAATCTAATGCTAAATTTAAAAGTAGCAGTCAGCTGTCACCCCAGACAAGTTCACTAAAGGGACTGCATGTGAGACAAAAAGCAAGCAATGGGGGGAAACAACAAACACAATCACATTCCACCTTGTCAAGAATGACATTCATATAAATGCTGTAGAGCAGGGGTATTCACTTCCGGGCCTGGAGGGTCGGTATCCGGCACGTTTAAGTTTTAACCCTGCTTCAACACACCTGATTTCAGTCAGCAGGTAATTAACAGGCTTCTGCAGAGCCTGATAAGCTGCTGTGCAGGTGATTCAAGCACTAAATCAAGTATGCTGGAGCAGAGAAACCACAAAAACAGGCTGGACACCAGCTCTCCAGGCCTGGAACTGAATATCCCAGCAGTAGAGAAAGGCAGCTTCAAGATGATGGTGAAAACTTTTGATCCCAGCTATGTCCTGCTGAAGCGTAAACATTTCAGCAGCACGGCGCATCCGCCATGCAGTCGAAACAGGAGGAAATGACAGACCATATATTCAAGGGATTATGTCTTTACCATATAGACATGGAAAAAAACAAAATGATGCAGTTCATATGACAGTAAAATAAGCTTTTTAAAGCCAATCAACTGCAGTAATTCTTTTCTTTTCAGAAGATAATGTGGATAACAACAGTCCTGTATGAAAAAAATAAAAATAAATATCTTAAAACCAGTATGACTGATACGAAAAACATGCCATGCCTTATGTCCAACCATGATGATGACTGGCTGATCATCCAATTTAGACTCCCTATAACGGACCTATAAGCGGGTCGGCCCATGTTTAATCGATCGACCCACCACAATGTAATCACAGTGAACCTGCAGCTTTTGATCACTCGGGTTTCCTGCAACCAGCTAATTTCAGTTAGCCTGGCAACAGCCAGATCTCTATGTGTTGCCTCGCCCCGTGTCGAGTCTACACGTTTCGATCTGGAATCTCTGCCGCAGAAACCGTCTGAAAGAGGGAGGGCTATGTGGTAGAATATTTAGAGCTGATTGGAGGATGCGTTACCATATTTTGTCCTTAGCCAATCACAGTAACAGCTCAAATGACGAATTTACCATGCGTGCCTGGAAAACAACAACTTGCTCAAGCTTCATTCATTCACTCACGCAGCAGTTACCCTGTCTTTGAGTGATTTCTGCCGGTTTTGCAAGAAGAATGTGTGCACAAAGGGCAGTGTTTCCCCAGCCAGGCTATGCATTGTCTCCACCCCCTCTTCCCAGCCCTAACTTCTCCACTTACACGGACAACAGACGGCAGTGAAACAAACCGCAAGCCTCCCCTCTGCTGATACCAACGAGAAACTGTAGCAACCCCCGACCCCCCCCTCTCACTATCCGGCCCGTGAAGCTTACCAAGTTTTCTGGGATGTTTACAGCCACACGGTTATGTTATTCGAACATTCCATCATAGTTCCAAAATTAGTTATTCCGTTCCGTTACAAAGTTGACTCTACGTCTTTTCTGGCCGTGACATAAGCGTGTTTCAGTCAGTATCATTTGGACGTTTAATAATTAAAATTTAGGCTGTTTATTACTGTATTACTGTAAAAAAAATCTAATAAATACCATTACTGTAATAAAATATCATTAGTGGACATTCGCTTTGACACGTACATGAAGTCACCTAGTGGATGTACACTTACAACTGATTCACAACATGCTCTATGTTGAACTACACGTATCTAGTTGTCAAAATAACATTTATACATGTAACTGTAGACATGTACAATTATATCGAAATGGATTTTAAGGGAATTTTCTGTTACATTTGTTTTAACAAATTAAAGACGTCCGACCGCGACCATTTTTAGCCGTGGACACCACGTTGCCGTTGTGATGATTGTTTGTTGTTAGCGTCAACCCGCGCTGTGTTTGTTTTGCTAAGCCGAGCGCTTGATTCTATCGTCAAAACTAAAGCTTGGTTTATGCTTGACGCATTCACTTTCCGCTTGGTGATGCAGCTCGCGGATGGAACGCGCTTCACAACTCGCAGCGTTTATGGTTCATGCGGCATGTCTCTGCGGTGAGCCAATATTCTCCCAAACTGTAGGGGGCAGCATGGAGCTCTACGGCATGCATCCAACACTACACCATAGTAGAAGTAAAAATTACTGTTGTTTACAACATGGCATTCCAGCATTTTTTAACAGTGTCCTCGTCTTTTCTGACAGTGCGAGCTATTTCTCTCCAAGAATTATTAACAACATGTTGATCACGGTGATCTTTGAGAGCTGAATCGTACAAATGTCTGTATTTACGAACCTCTGCCATAACTAGTTCTTGCCGGTCCGCCATGTTTTTCCGCGTCCGACCGACCGCGTGGTTAGAAAATTTCCTTGGTGCGCGGTGCGGAAATTTTAGGCCGTGCGGAGGCGCGGTGTAGGGGCGTGGTTGTTAAAATGATGCAATTTCACCGCGTGGGGCCGTGCGGACCTCGCGGACGCGTCAAGCATAAACCAAACTTAAGTCCCACCCTACAGCACAGTACTGACTAGGGATGAACGATTTAGGAAAATAATCTAATTGTGATTTTTTTTCTATATTGCAATAGCGATTTAATTCACAATTATTTTCTCAAGGGGCTTTTCTCATATTTTTCAGCTAACAGAAGCAAAAAAAACCCTATGTAACTTGCACTGAATATGAACAAGTTTATGTATCTACATATATATCTACATATCATATCAACAAGTTTATTTGTCTACATAAATACTAACAAGTAACGACAACATTTTGCATTTGAAGTTGCGATGCTTTGCAGCCAGGAGCACATCCCTTGTAGGAGCATAGGTATTAGCATCAACTGTGAAAATTGATTTGCAGGAAAGAAGTGTCCCATTTATTGGTCTTTTGTGTTTACAGTTTTTGACGTCTGGTCCATGCAGAGCTTCCATAGTTCAGCTACGTTCATAGCTGCTAGCCAAAACTCTGTGGAGTTTAAGTCTCTTACAGTTTTTTGAGCTTTACTAAAATATCTGTCTGTACTTATTTGATTAATGGCAGTTTTTACTTTTTTATTAGTGTCCAAATGTAAATATTTGGCACGTTCCTAAGCCATAATTTGTAAGAATGTAATCTGCAATATTAGCATTAGCATCCCTATGGGCTTTTCTATGTATATTAGCATTGCGCTAACCACTTGCTGCCAGTCAAATCGCAGCCTTTGCGATTAGAAAATCTCCTTTTGTCACATCGCAATTTAATTGCATATGCAATTAATTATTCAGCCCTAGTGCTGACACACGATTGGTCCGGCCTATTTTAGGCCGGAGGTCGGACGGTTTGAACTGGAACGGTACAAGATGGATTCTCCTGAGTTTGGAAAACTCCAAATCTCGCGAGGATTCATCTTGCAGTGCAAGGTTACATTTCAGTAGGAATTAGATGACGGGTACACTCATATTGGTTTGATGTGATAAAGAACAAATGACATTTCCTGCCAAAAGTGGTGTAATATTTATGCAATATTCACATTTTTGGAGACATTGAAATATAGGTTTCTATGATCTGTATGAGACAATAATCAAAATTACAAGAACTATAGGCTTGAAATGGTTCATTTTATGTGAAATGACTATTTAGGTGCTTCGCTTTCTGAAATGAGTGACAAAATATATTACACTGCTTCATAATAATCTAATTGTTTCAGGTGTGCCCACATTGTTCTGATACATTAACCTTAAATTCTGTCACTCATCATATTCGTTTTTTTTATTAAATAAAGCAACATATTTGACATTGGAAGGCTTACCTCCTTAAAAACGGGATACATCACAGCGTAAAGCGTCATGGATACCATGGAGTTTGTCTCCGCTTCATTCTTCATCTCCTCCATTGTCATCCTCCAGTGGAGGAGTAGCTCTTGTCAAAATGATGAAGAGGAAACTGCTCCTCAGCCACACTCACTCTCTCTCACACACACACACACACACGCACACACACACACACTCAGAAACCAAGCAAGTTCCAGAGATAAGAGCCTGAAAAATAAAATAGAAAAAGGACATTTTTGGGAAATGAATGAAGTTATATCTGCTCATATTTTCTTTTTATGTTGATGGAATGCAGAACATGCATCAGTTACAATGTGACTGAATTAAATCACAGTAGTTAATCTGTCACAGTTCGGTTTAAACATGGGTTTGGATGATCACACATCCCTGATAATTGTAGTTAGACGTTTAAATTTGAATAAGAACTGGAAATGTCACATGATTTTGCAACAATCTTGAAAATCGACTGCCCTGACTATTTATCTTATTCAAACACAAAAATAAGCACTACTTCCTCACCCAGATAAATTTCATTATAATAGAACACAAAACATTTGCAAAAGAAGCTGCAGATAAACCAGGCTTTAAAAAAATACAATCTAAATATGCTCTTTCTAATGATGTGATTGTTCAATAACAAGATTATGAATGAAAATCAATAATAATCTTAAATCAATTATTTTTATGATTAGCAATCAACATGTACGATTAGAACATCCATAAAATTAAATCATGTCAGTTTATCACAAACATGTCATTACACACCCTCACATACATCTTTACACTCACCAGTACTGACCGCCTAATCTATCCTGTTCTGGTTAATAATGAGGAAGTGATCCTTTGTATTCTGGTTTAATCTGAAGGAGGGGAGTGGTACAATCATACGTTTTATGTATGGCAGCACGGATTAAATGTCTACACAACAACTTCACTCTGAACAACAGAGACTATTTGGACACACTATAGCATCGTAGGCAAATGAGTTAAAACTGACAAATACTTGACAGAATAGATTAGGAAAGCTGAATGTAAATCATACGAATTTGATGTATTTTCAGCATGTTGTGTATTTGTGATTGTCCAGGTTTGTTATGGAGAAAATGACACATATTATTTTTTTTAATGGAGTGTCTGAAGTGACTGCTGGTTTACTGGAAAGCTAAACAAATCAAATGATAGCCTAAGGTAATGCTACAAGCTAGTAGAAGTATGGAACGGAAAACTAAACGGTGTTGGGTAAAACAGAGTAACCCGATTTATTTGTGATATCGGGGTACTACAATCAATTAACAAGTGTCTGTGTAACATTACATACTTTACGCGGTTTTATAATATTCACTCGAGGCCTCTAGCCGACTAGATCGATGGTAGCAGTGAACAGCGTTAGCTTCCGTGCTAGCTCAAGTAATGTGTAGGGTTGTCTTTACAAACGCGCTAAAACACGTCAACAAACTGCTTCATGACGGATACGTGCATTTATGTGTGCGTCCTAAAGGCGTACTCGTATCTACCTTTGGGCTGACTTCTTAAATAAGATGATTTTCCCGTCGATTGGCTTTTAGCTGCTGTGTTTTCTTTACAACTTAAGGCGGAAGTTTTTTAGGACTGGCCCGAGCGACATCTTCCGGACCGTTGCTACGTAAACACACGTTGTCCAATCAGAGAGCGGGGAGGCTAAAGTAACCGTGACGTAAGCCGGTAGCCTATTTAAGTAAGTATGAAGAAAACGTAGCTTTACGTAGGCACATTACAGTTGTTCTGTGTTTAATTAAGATTTGTTTATGAGAAAATAAAAGCTTTTAGTTGTATTAAGAAAAACATGGCTCTCCAATTTTCTACATAGCAGCAAATATAAAGGTCAAAAGAGACAACAGAGGTCACATATATACATGAAAATGTTTTTAATCAGTGTTTTTTCTTATTACAGTAACACGTTCTAATGACAATACCTTTTAAAAGGACTGCCAGAAGAAATACAGTACTGATTAGATCATTTGAAGGAAGGGATAGCTACATTGCCCTTTGATGCATAATGGTCACTACAGTGGACAGGTACTCAAAATAGTTTTTTTTTTTGCTTGTTTATTTATTTGTTTGTTTGTTTGTTTGTTTGTTTGTTTGTTTGTTTTTGCATTAAGCACAGCTGTTGAAGACTTTATTGTACTTGAGCCCCTCCATTTGGACTTCAGTAAGTCAAGCCAACATATTTCATGTTCAGAATGCACGCTGTCCACTGAGGTGGACGTGTAATAATCCATTTGTAAATTATTAAATGTTTCAAAAAATATTTGTTGAAATTTGTTTCATTCACACCTAAAGATGAATGAAATTCATGGAAAAAAATTCATGGTTGAAGATTGCATAATTCATGCATCAAAGGGTTAATAATATGAGATTTTGCTGAAATATTTGCAATATAGTAAAAGGCTGAATCCGCTGGATTACATTAATGTTAAAAAAACATTAATTTTTGAGTTTTGTGCAAAAATGTAAATATCTCATCTCCTATGCATGTCATGATCCGCCCCGGCCTCCCTGACTGTGTCTCTCCTGCCTTGATTAACCTTATTGTTCTCACCTGTCCCTCATTACTCTGCCCATGTGTTCCTGATTTCCCTGTGTATTTATACCTCCCTCCTTGTTGCTGTCTTCATCGGATCATTGTTGTTTGTTCATGCTTGTTTTGTCCGTCTCTCCCATTCTACAATTAAACCATTTTTATTTCATCCGTGCCTGCTCTTCTGCCTCCTGGAACCCTCCACCACACTTGGTCCACCATCTCCACCCTCACATCATGACGATGCATTTATTTTCAAGAACGAATTTGTTTCTATTCTGAATGAAAAATAGCCAACTTTATGCATGCACCAATGACATTTTTTTAAAACCGAAACACCCAATGTTAAAGTTTCAATGAATGCAAATAATGCTTCTTCTGTTCAGTCTTGTTTGGTTTCAGTTATAGACTGAATGGAAGTTTAAAAAAATACATTAGCAAGATGCATATCAGTTTTTCATGTTTTGTTAAAAGCTGTTGTAAATTCCAGCAGGCCATTCCCATTATGTCACGTTTATCCCTAGCCTGGCCTGCCAGACTTGTTCACTGTGTAATTCTACACAGAGAACTATAAGGAAGCATAGGGAAGCATGGGGCTGGCTGGCCAGGCCAATATCTTCTTATGTAATTTTGTGTTGGTTAAAAAAATATCTTGAATCTCTTACTTATCTTGTTTTAAAGGAATGTAAAAGGCTGTGGACAGTGACACACTGAAATGTGAGGTCAGGCTCCAGGTTTCTGAAGCCTGCAGGTACATATGACCTCAGAGCACATTTTTCTCTGGAGACAGAATACTTGTCTTTAATTCATTAGAAACAAAATGATGCTATCCTAACCAGCAGGATAGGCATCAATCTTCCTATGCTTGAAGTTTACATTAAATAAACACAAAAATTGTAAAAGTAAATTATTAATGTCCAATCCATAGACAGGGACATAAGGACGAAACTGAAGCCCAAATGCCCCCTCACTCTTTACAAACCTTTCTGCTGCATGCTTGTATGTTTATTTATTTATTTTTTCTTTAAACTTATTTTGCAAAATAGAAACGTCATGTTTTAAAAACACAATGATTGTGTATGGGCAGTTTTAGCCCCACATCCAACCTTGAAACAGGACCGTTTGACTCCACTTTATAGCAACAGATGAAAGTAGATGCCTTATTTATTTATGTCTGAGTAAAACCCCAGTAAGGTTTTATCTTGAGGGCGATATGATTGGCTGAACACAACACCCAGAAAGATGTAAAATGTAAAACGTCTTTAATGCTTGTCAGAAATAGGGGGGGGGGGGGGGACTCAGAACACAGTTTTACTAGAACACTCCTCTAAAGCATATAAACAAACATCGTATTTTTTTAGAATAAACAAAAGAAACAAGACTCAAAGAAATTGAAGAAATGCAGCAAAATAAGTAGTTTTGGTCTCAAAACGTTCAAAAACAGTGTTCTCCTTTAAAAAGCGACAACTTTGGAAGTCGGGTTGAAAGGACAAAGACAGCAGACGCTGGAATTTTCCACTCTAGGATGAGAATCACTGTTGTTATGCATACTGCTGTTATGCATGCAACATCTTAATTAAATCAATAATTAACTTCGATTTTACCACTCATTTGCACTGAAACTAATTAATAAATGTAAATTAGTTTGTTAATGTGACATGTTATTATCCATTCGCAATTGAATCTCTGACCTCCACGATAGCTGTTCAGGTTTTATTGTGCACCCATGACTGATCTAGTTGACTGATCTAGTTTCAAAAAGCAAAACGACCACCTAAATAATATTTTTATATAACTATTTGCCATGCTGATTAAAAGGGAAATGCTGCGTAAAAGTCAAAGATCGGTCAAATTGGGTTACATAGTAAACACATTTATCACAGACACTTTGTATTTTGCAAATCTGGAAATATCTACAAATAAAACGTTGATGGAAGATTTTTCTATTTTTTTATGTACTGAAACATCTAGAACGGATTAGTTTCGCTGCGCAGTGGTCCCTCCTCTCCGACGATGCTGGAGTGGAACGACGCGCTGCCATTGGCTGTTGCTGCCACGCGGCGTCCTTTGTCTGCTTCCCGCAGGCTTCATAAAGCGGTGGGACGTGACGATTAGCCTGTAACGGTGTGAAACTGACCCAAGAGAAGTCATCCGCACCAGCAGACGCGCCAGAGTGGAAAATTCCAAGCGGACAACTTACAGAAAGACAAGAAATCTTCTTCGAAAGGTGAGGGATCCTTCATTGCCAGTCAGGTAGTGTTGAGCTTTTTCACGCTTTCTTTGAAATTAAGTGAAATAAATTCAAACGTGTCTGTGTGCAGATTCTGCAGCCATGTCCGCGAACATCCTCATCAACAGTCCTAACCTGAAGTACACAGACACACACATAGAGGCGCAGTATTCTTATCAAACCACATCAGTGCACCAGGAAGGGAATAAACTCACGGTCAGTTCACAAATGTTCACTCTGGTGCGTAATTACGCACGCGTAAAGTTTCTACGGTTCACACCGCTTCTGTCCTGGAATGCAGGTGACCCCTAGAACAACTGAGATGATTTTCCGAACCGAGCGGCACGTTCCGAGGCTTGGTGTGATGCTTGTGGGCTGGGGAGGCAACAACGGAACCACTGTCACAGCCGCTGTGCTGGCAAACAAGCTGGGTCTTACCTGGAGGACCAAGAACGGAGAGAAGGTGCGGTTTTAATGAAGAAGTCTGCTTTAACTATCTGCCCTCAACCAGTTTGAATAAGAGAACCTAAAGCCAGGTGTGTTATGGACACATGCTCCCCACTATCTGTTATAAACTGGTTTTATTATGTTTTTCTTAAAAGTAAAACTTTTCCAGTTCTTGGGACATTTTCATATAGACATTAGCAAAGAAGTTGGACTAAGTCATCACAAGTCACAACTGTCTTGACTCATGTTCTTGTTCTAAACTTTTAAAATTTTATACTAAACAAGTAATTTGGGATTTCGGCAGCAGGTGTTGTACCGTCTGTCGTGGTGAAGAGAGAGCTGAGCCAGAAGGCAAAGCTCTCGATTTACCGGTCGATCTACGTTCCTACTCTCACCTATGGTCACGAGATTTGGATAGTGACCGAAAGAATGAGATCCTAGATAAAAGTGGCCAAAAGGAGTTTTCTCTGCAGGGTGGCCCTTAGAGATAGGGTGAGAAGCTTAGTCTTCTGGGGAGGGGCTCGGAGTAGACCCGCTGCGCCTCCACATCGAGGGGAGCCAGTTGAGGTGGCTCGGGCCTCTGATGAGAATGCCTCCAGTAAACCTCCCTAGTGAGGTTTTTCCGGCATGTTCAACCGGGAGGAGGCCCAAGGGAAGATCCAGGACACGCTGGAGGGACTGCGTCTCTCAGCTGGCCAGGGAACACCTTGGGATTCCCCAGAGGAGTTGTCCCAAGTGGGTCTGGAGAGGGACCCAACTCTGGATAAGCAGCCGAAAATGGATGGATGGATGGAGCCATTTGGCCATACTTGTATATGAATTACAAAGTAACAGGAACATTTTCCCAAAATGTATGAATGTTTCTATGTATGCTTCACATAACTAGCAGCAAACGCAACTCATTCATATTAAAGGAGTTCTAATGTTACTTTTTCGAGTAAATATTAATCCTCTCATATGTGAGATATTAAGGTTTTCAAATCTGGCTCAAATCCATGTGATGTCATGAATCAATGGTGCTGAATTTGGTGCAGTCACAGTTCAAACCTTCAGACACCAAATAAATAAACACCATTCTGAAAAAAAATGACTTAGCTCATTTAAGCAGATTACCAGGCTGGTCTTGTTCTTTCTGCAGACATACATCTTAATATCGGGCTCTTTTTAATAAATACAGTTATAATCTATGGTTTGTGAACTGTATTCACTGATGTCAGATCAGTGTGTGTGTGTTTATGTTACTGCAAATAAGTTCCACGAGGTACAACCATTAAAGTGTGTTTATCTTTTTTGTCCTTCCCATTTCTTAGAAAGCAAATTACTTCGGCTCCTTCCTGCAGTCTTCTACTGTTTGTCTGGGATCAGGCTCGGAGGGTGAGGTCAATGTACCGTTCTGTGACCTCCTGCCCATGGTGCACCCTAATGACATAATCTTTGATGGTATGAAAGTTGAACCTCTAAAGTGTGTATGTAAGAGGCAAACAGCGGCAGCAAAACTGGATCTTTGAACAGTTTGTCCTTAACTTATTTTCTAGGTTGGGATATCTCCTCAATGGATCTGGGCAGAGCAATGGAGCGAGCCCAGGTGCTCGACTGGTCTTTGCAAGAGCAGCTACGACCATACATGTGCTGCCTGAAACCAAGACCATCCATCAGCATCCCAGACTTCATTGCTGCAAACCAAGACAGTCGGGCAGATAATGTACTAACTGGGACGATGGCAGAACAGGTAATAAGTGTTTCCCCTCTTCATTTTGATCTTACCTCAACTTCTTGATGCAATTTTACTTAAAAAGATGAATGATCTTCCAGATGGAGCGAGTCAGAGCGGACATAAGGGACTTTAAGCTGTCCAGCGGTGTGGACAAAGTCATTGTTTTGTGGACGGCCAATACTGAGCGCTTCTGTGACATTACCCCTGGGGTCAATGACACAGCCAAGAACTTGCTAGCTACAATCCAGGTGAGTCTAGTAAGCATTAAAAAGTCCATTCTGTCAATGTGGTGTATTGTTTCTTTCTCAGTAACAGACAGTTGTTTCCTTGCCTTCATCAGAATGGAGGAGAGGTTTCTCCCTCCACCCTGTTTGCAGTGGCCAGCATACTAGAAGGTTGCGCCTTCATCAACGGGTCCCCTCAGAACACCTTCGTCCCTGGAGCTGTAGAGCTGGCCGTGGAGAGAGGCGTGTTCATCGGCGGCGACGACTTTAAGTCTGGCCAGACGAAGATCAAGTCGGTGCTTGTAGACTTTCTGGTCAGCGCAGGCATCAAGGTAGTAGAAAGGCTGTATGGCAGCAGCAGCAAAGTAAACAAGGACTAACGACTCTCTTAGCAAACAATATCACTTTACTTTCCAAACAGCCAACGTCTATCGTCAGCTACAACCACCTTGGCAACAACGACGGGAAAAACCTGTCGGCTCCGCAGCAGTTCCGCTCCAAAGAGATCTCCAAGAGCAATGTGGTAGATGACATGGTGCAGTCCAACTCTGTTCTGTACCAGCCTGGAGAGAAACCTGACCACTGTGTGAGTGGAGAATGCTAACAGACAAATATTAGCTCACGTGGGGGCAAATGCTTTTAAATGTTTCGTTTCATTTCAGGTCGTGATTAAGTATGTCCCGTATGTGGGAGACAGCAAACGTGCCATGGATGAGTACACGTCTGAAATAATGATGGGAGGGATCAACACTATTGCAATGCACCACACTTGTGAGGTCAGTGATACTCACTTTCAGTCACTTACCATGAGAACAGGGTCAGGTGTTAGTATCTGAGGAAAGGAAGGGTCGGGAGCAACTGAACCTGTTGTTAATCTGTCTCTGAGAGCCTTAGAGCTCATACAATGAGACACACGTAGGTCACTCACATGCCTGACGTTATTCCGACTGCTTTATCCCACCACTTAATACACAGCAGCTCATTTGCATCCAGGCCTTTATTGTGCAACCTTTGATTTGCAACCTAAACCTGAAAAAGGGTCAAATTAATAAATAAGAATTAACCCTCTCAGGCTCTAAATAAGTTTTGATAAAAGGCCAAGCAACTAAGTCTTTCAGGGGTACTTCTGAGTTAAAAATGCTCATGAAATACGTGTGTGGAGTAACCAGGTAGGTAGGTTTAACGTTGCAAATCTGCAACGCCTGCCTCCAGAGAGAAGGTTAAACAAAACTGTAAAGGTTTAAAAAAAAAGGTCTTAAAATGACCTTCAATAACACAAGTTAATGTACGTCCCCCTCTAGTGGTGAAAATTAACAATAAGCTCTCCCTATGTTTGAATACGACGTATCAAAATAAATGGGATGGTAATAAATTCCACAAGTTTTTCATATTTATTTTTAGCTCTTTAGATACATTTTTCTGTGTATTTGGGAATTAATTCAAAATATATGAGCAGTTATTTCATGTGCAACGAATTTGTCCTTTTTTACAATGCTTACTTTTTTCCTGTTTCCTTTCATAGGATTCTTTGCTGGCAAGCCCGATCATTCTGGACCTGGTGATCCTGACAGAGCTTTGTCAGCGTGTGACCATCAAGCCTCAGGGAGAGGAGGACTTCCAGTCCTTCCACAGTGTCCTCGCTCTTCTCTCTTTCCTCTGCAAGGCCCCTTTGGTCCCACCAGGGTCTCCAGTAATCAATGCCTTCTTCCGACAGAGAGCCTGCATAGAAAACATCATGAGGTATGAGATCACTTTTAAGTGTTGAATTTCACGCACATCAAAATGTAACCTGCATCAATCTGTCATCTTTAGAGCATGCCTTGGACTCCCTCCTCAGAGCCACATGCTGCTGGAGCACAAGCTGCAGAAGAACTTCCTGACTGCGCACACGTCCTTTATCAACAACGACGTGGCCTCAGTGAAGAAAGTGGCCCTGACCAATGGGAAACACACCCTTGTGCCTCTAATAAACGGCGTATGTACACTAGAGTGATACAACTTGTGCTATGTAAATCCAAAAATGGACATTAATGTGATCGGTAATCTAGTACAGATTGTTCAACACAAACAAAGAATTCAGTGATCAAAGTTTGAACTGGACACAAAAACGGCTCAAATGTGGATTCAGCCCTTAGTTAAGGACTAATTATTTAATATCTGAAAACCACCTGTAACATTTCAGCTTTGTAAATATTTGGATTGTTTTATGCTTTCATTTGAATCCTTATTTAAGGCACATTTAAACTGCAACCGTATGCTGTACTGTATATTTTTATGTACTAGCAAACCTGTGAGTGTGATAATTGCTGTTGAAGCACACAGGTTTAATGAAAAGGGTGCAATAATAATGACATTAATAAGTTTTTGTTAGCCATCTGTTTATATTCTGAATTTTTGGGGAGGTTTAGCACTAAATTGGCTATTTTAAGTGACAATGTTTTAGTTTATAGCATTAATCTCTGGAAACGTCCATCAAAATGTTATTGTAAATGAATTAAAAGATGCCCAATTGTTGAAAAATATAGCAGATTTATAACATATAACCATAAAAATCTGTTCTTATCTACATGGAGCGGGTCTAAGTCTCTGGGCGACGCCATATTGGATGCCATGTTTCCATCTACAGAAGGCTGTGAGGACAAAACACATTTACTGATTTGTAACAAATGGTTTCAAAATGTTCACCATTAATAAACTTTGTTGTTTTACACATTTACATCTTCACTCGTTGCAAGTGATGAAAGACAATCTGATGTTATTTGGCTGGAGGTTGTGTTCCCAGGGATTTTTTATCCTAATGGCCTTCTGTTGGTAAGGTCTTACTGAAACGCAAAAATAATGCTTGCAATACTTTAGGTAAGTGAGGAACTGAGACTGATCCCAGACTTGTTAACTATATAAGATCAGGTCTGGATTAATTCTCAGTTATTGTGAAACCAATTCATGCTGGCTGCTTCCTTTAACTGTGTGTGTGTATTACTGATAAAGACTTGTGCTCCTCACCCTGAGGTCGTAAATATTCTGAGCTGTTTCGGTCTCACGGTTCTGTGGTAACCTTTTGACCTTCAGAGAAGTGGAGGAAGCAAGGAGGCTTATCCTGTAGAAAGTCCAGGTGCACCAGCTAATAGTTATAAAAACAGATCATTCGTCTTCGTCTTCCTCCGCTTATCCGGGTCCGGGTCGCGGGGGCAGCATCCCAACTAGGGAGCTCCAGGCCGTCCTCTCCCCGGCCTTGTCCACCAGCTCCTCCGGCAGGACCCCAAGGCGTTCCCGGACCAGATTGGAGATGTAACCTCTCCAACGTGTCCTGGGTCGACCCGGGGGGCCTTCTGCCGGCAGGACATGCCCGAAACACCTCCCCGGGGAGGCGTCCAGGAGGCATCCTGACCAGATGCCCAAACCACCTCAACTGGCTCCTTTCGATCCGGAGGAGCAGCGGCTCTACTCCGAGTCCCTCCCGAATGTCCGAGCTCCTCACCCTTTCTCTAAGGCTGAGCCCGGCCACCCTACGGAGGAAACTCATTTCGGCCGCTTGTATCCGCGATCTCGTTCTTTCGGTCATTACCCAAAGCTCATGACCATAGGTGAGGATTGGGACGTAGAGCGACCGGTAAATCGAGAGCCTGGCTTTCTGGCTCAGCTCCCTCTTCCCCACGACAGATCGGCTCAGCGTCCGCATCACTGCAGACGCCGAACCAATCCGCCTGTCGATCTCCCGATCCCTCCTACCCTCACTCGTGAACAAGACCCCGAGATACTTAAACTCCTCCACTTGAGGTAGGACCTCTCCCCCGACCCGGAGGTGGCAAGCCACCCTTTTCCGGTCGAGAACCATGGTCTCAGATTTGGAGGTGCTGATCCTCATCCCAGCCGCTTCACATTCGGCCGCGAACCTACCCAGCAAGAGCTGAAGGTCAGAGCTGGATGAAGCTAGGAGGACCACATCATCCGCAAAAAGCAGAGACGAGATTCTCCTGCCACCAAACTTGACACACTCCACACCACGGCTGCGTCTAGAAATTCTGTCCATAAAAGTGATGAACAGAACCGGTGACAAAGGGCAGCCCTGGCGGAGTCCAACCCTCACTGGGAACAGGTCCGACTTACTACCGGCTATGCGGACCAAACTCACGCTCCTCTGGTAAAGGGACTGAATGGCCCTTAACAGAAAGCCACCCACCCCATACTCCTGGAGCGTCCCCCACAGGGTGCCCCTGGGGACACGGTCATAAGCCTTCTCCAAATCCACAAAGCACATGTGGATTGGTTGGGCAAACTCCCATGCCCCCTCCATCACCCTTGCAAGGGTATAGAGCTGGTCCACAGTTCCACGGCCAGGACGAAAACCACATTGCTCCTCCTCTATCTGAGATTCAACTATCGATCGGACCCTCCTCTCCAGTACCTTGGAGTAGACCTTTCCAGGGAGGCTGAGGAGTGTGATCCCCCTATAGTTGGAACACACCCTCAGGTCACCCTTCTTAAAGATGGGGACCACCACCCCGGTCTGCCACTCCCTAGGAACTGCCCCCGATGACCACGCAATGTTGTAGAGACGTGTCAACCATGACAGCCCTACAACATCCATAGCCTTGAGATACCCAGGATGAACCTCATCCGCCCCCGGGGCTCCGCCGCTGTGTAGTTGTTTGACTACCTCAGCAACTTCTGCCCCCGAGATCGGACAGTCCATCCCTAGGCCTCCCAGCTCTGGTTCCTCCTCGGAATGCGCACTGGTGGGATTGAGGAGCTCCTCAAAGTATTCCTTCCACCGTCCGACTATAGCCTCAGTTGACGTCAGCAGCTCCCCATCCCCACTGTAAACAGTGTGAGCGAGTTGCTGCCTTCCTCTCCTGAGGCGCCGGACAGTTTGCCAGAACCTCTTTGGAGCCGATCGATAGTCTTTCTCCATGGCCTCACCAAACTCCTCCCACGCCCGAGATTTTGCCTCGGCAACTGCCACTGCTGCACTCCGCTTGGCTATCCGGTACCTGTCTGCTGCCTCCGGAGACCCACAGACCAGCCACGCCCTGTAGGCCTCCTTCTTCAGCCTGACGGCTCCCCGAACCTCTGGTGTCCACCAGCGGGTACGGGGGTTGCCACCACGACTGGCACCGGCCACCTTACGACCACAGCTAGCAACAGCCGCCTCGACAATCGCAGAGTGGAACAAGGCCCACTCGGACTCAATGTCCCCCACTGCTCTCGGGACGTGGTCAAAGCTCTGCCGGAGGTGGGAGTTGAAGACCGTCTTGACAGGTTCTTCTGCCAGGCGTTCCCAGCAGACCCTCACTATGCGTTTGGGTCTGCCAGGTCTACGCGGCATGTTCCCTTGCCATCTGATCCAACTCACCACCAGGTGGTGATCAGTTGACAGCTCCGCCCCTCTCTTCACTCGGGTGTCCAAAACATACGGCCGCAGGTCAGATGATACGACTACAAAATCTATCATCGACCTGTGACCTAGGCTGCCCTGGTACCAAGTGTACCGGTGGGCATCCTTATGTTCGAACATGGTGTTCGTTATGGCCAAACTGCGGCTTGCACAGAAGTCCAATAACAAAACACCGCTCGAGTTCTGATTAGGTGGGCCGCTCCTCCCAATCACACCCCTCCAGGTCAAGCTGTCATTGCCCACGTGAGCATTGAAGTCCCCCAGCAGGACAATGGAGTCCCCTGATGGAGCACTATCTAGCACTCGTCCCAGGGACTCCAAAAAGGGTGGGTACTCTGAACTGATATTTGGCCCATAAGCACAAACAACAGTCAGGACCCGTTCCCCGACCCGAAGGCGCAAGGAAGCTACCCTCTTGTCCCCCGGGGTAAACCCCAACACACAGGCAGAGAGTCTCGGGGCTAACAAAAAGCCAACCCCAGCCCTCCGCCTCTCACCCGGAGCAACTCCAGCAAAGTAGAGTGTCCAACCCCTCTCCAGGTCTCGGGTTCCAGAGCCAATGCAATGTGTCGCAATGTGTCGAGGTGAGTCCGACTATATCTAGCCGGTACCGCTCAACCTCTGCCACAAGCTCCGGCTCCTTCCCCGCCAGCGAGGTGACGTTCCATGTCCCAAAAACTAGTTTTCTTGTCTGGGGATTGGACCGCCAAGGCTCCCGCCTTGGTCTGCCACCCGATTCGCATTGCACCGGACCCTTCATGTTCCTCCTGCGGGTGGTGGGTCCACAGTTGGACGAGCCCATGTATCCGGTTCAGGCTGGGCCCGGCCGGGCCCCATGGGCGAAAGCCCGGCCACCAGGCGCTCGCTCACGGGCCCCAACCCCAGGCCTGGCTCCAGGGTGGGACCCCGGTAACCCTCCGGGCCGGGTACTCCGACTCTTCGTTTCAACCGCCATGAAAGATCCTTCGAACCGTTCTTTGTCTCACCCTTCCCCTAAGACCAATTTGTCATGGGAGACCCTACCAGGGGCACTAAGTGCCCCAGACAACATAGCTCCTAGGATCATTAGGGCACTCAAACTCCTCCACCACGATAAGGTGACGGTTCAAGGAGGTGTTACTATTGGCAGATCATGTACTCTTAAAATTGATAAGCCCAATAACTAGCATGAAGGAGAAGATGTATTGTTCCACCCCAAGACCGAGAGAGGAAGAAGAGTAGAAGGAGGGGCAACGTTGGGCTAAGGTCACCAGAGGCCAAGGAGAGACGAGAGGGGCAGACTCTGGACAGCCAGCAAAGCCTGCTGGAGGAGATGATGTAATCGCAAGGAGAAGAGGAAACACGTGACCAGACGTTGAGCTCCAGAAGCAGGATGGGGGTGTTGCCATGGAGATGCAACCCCTAAAGAATGCAGAGGGGAGGATGGACAGAGTGAATAAAAGGGAGATACTGGGTCTGTTCGGGATGAGCTTGATGGGATGAGTGAGAGTCAATCAGTCATGGACTGAGCTTTTTGGAGAGAGGCTTTTGAGAGTTTTTAGGAGAGAGGCTTAATGAGTGGGGGTTGAGCTGTGTCTTTTTTGGGGGAAGGGAGTTTCTGATTTTTGTCTGTGTGACCCGCTGCAATGGGATTTTCATTTTTTTTATCTGTCTGTGGAATAGAATTCATTTCTCACTGCAAGGAACTTAAAAAGAATCCACAGTCTCTGGGGGTCTCCTCTGTCTGTAATCTACGAGAAAGGTGAGGCGCTGGTTCCCGGTATCCCATTCCAAAGGTTTGAATGCTATTAGCTGGTACAACCATCCTTTGCTACAGTTAAACTAGCTGTTTCCTCAGCTTACAGCTTGGTTTATGCTTGACACATTCACTTTCCGCTTGGTGATGCGGCTCGCGGACGGAACGCGCTTCACAACTCGCAGCGTTTATGGTTCATGCGGCTCGTCTCTGCGGTGAGCCAATATTCTCCCAAACTGTAGGGGAGCTCTACGGCATGCATCCAACACTACACCATAGTAGAAGTAAAAATTACTGTTGTTTACAGCATGGCATTCCAGCATTTTTTAACAGCGTCCTCATCTTTTCTGACAGTGCAAGCTATTTCTCTCCAAGAATTATTAACAACATGTTGATCACGGTGATCTCTGAGAGCAGAATCATACAAATGTCTGTATTTACGAAACTCTGCCATACTAGTTCTTGCCAGTCCGCCATGTTTTTCCACGTCCGACCGTCCGCGTGGTTAGAAAATTTCCTAGGTGCGCGGTGCGGAAATTTTGGGCCGTGCGGAGGCGCGGTGGAGGGGCGTGGTTGTTAAAATGACGCAATTTCGCCGCGCGGACCTCATGGATGCGTCAAGCATAAACTAACCTTAAAGGGCCAGCTATCTTTACCTGAAGCATTCATGAGCCGAAGGATTAGAGAGAGTGTACGGGTGTAATTGAAGTCTTCCTTGTGTCCACTTAAACGTATATTGGTCAGAATTAGAAGCCCTGGGTAATTCAGTGATTGCTAATCGTCTCTTTACATAGTGATGGGTGTTTACTGGCAATTAATGTCACGCCCACTACTCTGATTGCAGGCCAAACCTGAAATTTTAAAAACATCTAATTAAGAGTGGAGCTAGTCCGGCAAACTGGCTTGCAACAGTAATACTGCTTCTAATGTCTGGGAAAATACAGACTGTCACCTTAAGTAATGAAAATGTGAACCATATGAACCTGTGTTTAGTTTATTCTTACATTTTCATAGGTCACAAGATTATAACCACCTATGACATAAAACACGCCATTCATAACTTAGACTGAAATACATTTAAACAGTTACTTATGCAGTTGAGGAGGAGTCAAACTAATCTTATCATGCTGTTTTGGATCGCCATTCGTTTTGGCCGTAGATGGTTTCATTCCAATCAAGTGTTTGATTTTTCCTTTTCTTTAAAAACAAATCTATACTATACTTGGCAAACTTACATTTTTTATCTTTTAATTATTAATTTTGATATTTTCCTCCACCCTGTGTGAAGGTTTGTTTTCGTGTTTTGTGATTACATACTGCATAAAGTCCTCGGTTCATGTTATTTTTGTAAAAGGGCTTTTTGCTTCCCACTCTTCAGTTCAGTCAGCTCAATCCCAATTTCCTGTTTAATTTTCTTTAAACCTGCCACTTCCCGTTCAACCCCAGAGCTTTTAATTATCTTCCTTTTTATATTGTTTCATCAGTTGTTCATTTGGAGCCTGCATTAAATGAAATGAAATTAAATTATTTTACTTTATTTTATTCCCTATACTTCCGGTTCCTTAACCGGCTTTTCCATCATTTCCGCTGCCGTTGCTGCGACACCGGACGTCAACAGTAATGTCTGACAAGGAGAAGCGGCGCTCCACGGCTCTTCCTTCGGGGATGCCCACGGGCAAATCCGTCAAATCGGACGGAGACCACGACTTTCTGGCGCAGGCCGGCGTGGGAGACCTGCTTCTCGGTGCCATCCTGAAGATGGTCGAGGCCAGATCGGACGATCCCATCGGGTTCCTGGCCGACCACTTCTGCAACCTGGCCTCGGTAACAGACAGCGGCTCAGCAGCTGGATGCGGCGAGGAAGACCCGCAAAACAGCGGCTCGGCCAGCGCAGGCGCACAGGAGCAGCAGCGGCTCAACCGGGCGCTCTGGCACCTGAGGCTGGCACATCACTCTCAGAGGTCTGCGCCAATTCCCGGCTTTGTACCTTCACAATGGCTGACCATTGGCTCATTGCCTGGACCAATGGGGCTTAGATTACAAATTAAAAGCTGTTTTACCTATTTAAGCTTTTAATGATACAATTGAAAGTATATCTTAATGCAGAAAGTTAAATGCTAAGGTTGAAATGTGTGGTTTAACCCTTTGATGCATAACGGTCACTACAGTGGACAGGTATTCAAAATTGTTATTTATTTATTTTTGCTATTAAGCACAGCTGTTGAAGACTTTATTGCACTTCAGCCCCTCCATTTGGACTTCAGTAAGTCAAGCCAACATATTTCATGTTCAGAATGCACGCTGTCCACTGAAGTGGACATGTAATAAATTATTTGTAAATTAGCAGAACATTACAAAAGATATTTGTTGAAATTTGTTTCATTTGCACCTAAAAATGAATGAAAAAAATTGTTTAAAAAAATCATGGTTGACGATTTCATAATTCATGCATCAAAGGGTTAAATGAAAATGTTTTGCTCACAATTTCAGATTGTCTAAAACAGAAGTAACTTACCAAAATAAAAGCAGGGTGAATAGAGTCCCTGTCCAAAGTCTTAGAACCAGAGTCAGGTGTCTGTTTTGCAGCAGAACATGAGTATTGTTACATAAACTCACATGCCTACCATCTAAGGCAGTAGTTCCCATGGGGTCGGGGGACCCCACTGTGAGTCAATCAGAGGTCTTCATGATTTCTAGAAATGAAAATAATTCAAAATTTCTGCATAATTGTTACAAAAACTCAATTAGTCATAAATTGATGTAAGTGAACATGAGCTGAAGTGGTATTTTATTATGTCATGAATTATTTAACTTTAGGCATCTTTGGGTGTTGACATATTCAATTTAGTGGGCTGAACCTGAAGAGTTTGGGAACCACTGATCTAAGCACTTTGGGGACTTAGGGGATCTGTTTTACCTGATCTTATTTTGGAAATCAACTTATATTTTGTGACAATCTGCATATTTGCTAAATATTTGATTTACGTTACACTAATAGTTACTAACAGTTACGTGTAACTTCATAAATTTAGATTTGATTGATCTGACTGAGGGCTGTGCAGTGGTGCAGTGGCTAGAACTGTTGCCTTGCCTTGCAGCAAGAAGGTCCTGGGTTCGCTTCCCAGCCTGGGATCTTTCTGCATGGAGTTTGAATGTTCTCCCTGTGCATGCGTGGGTTCTCTCCGGGTACTCCGGCTTCCTCCCACAGTCCAAAAACATGACTGTTCGGTTGATTGGTCTGTCTAAATTGTACTTAGGTGTGTGTGTGTGTGTGTGTGTGTGTGTGTGTGTGTGTGTGTGTGTGTGTGTGTGTGTGTGTGTGTGTGTGTGTGTGTGTGTGCATGATTGTTTGACCTGTGTGTCTCTGTGTTACCCTGCGATGGACTGGCTTTCTGTCCAGGGCGTACCCCGCCTGATTTCCCGTTGACCGCTGGAGACAGACACCAGCCCCCCGCAGCCCTATGTGGACAAGCGGGTTCAGAAAATAAATGGATGCATGATCTGACTGATCATATGTAAACATTTATTTGTCCAGTTGTGCAAAATGGAAGTTGGAAAAAAGTTTTCTTTTGGAGCATCTAAAGTTTTAAACCAGAACCATTCGGACAAATATTGTTGAGCATTTTTCCATATAGCATGTTGGGGTCATAATTGGAAAAAAATCTCCACTTTGTTTCATAGACATGAATATGTAAACGAGCCATTGGGCGCTGGGGAGGATCAAGGTGTTGCCGCCATATTAGATGGGTCTCCTCACTTTCCAAACCAAACTGGAGTCAATGCAGGGTGGGCAACTATGCCTGTTTTTTGTGCAGTCTGTGGTATAAACAGATCACATGGTGTTACTATTGGCATTTATTTTTGCTTATTTTATTTAATATTTATTATTTTTTTATCATCATGCCATACTGTATGTCTGACTTGTGAAAATGCATATTATATGTTTATTTGGGGGGGGGGGGGGGGGTGTTAAACATTTTGCTCAGTAGAAATAAATGCACAAGGAATGAATAGGACCCCGTCCAAGATGGCTGCCCACTGTTAAGCAAGCTCCAATAGGCAGCGTCAGTCCACTTCACGGCTTCGTAAATGTGTGTGTTTTATTGACTCGGCACACACACGGTCAGTGGGTTTTGCCCTCCTTCTGCCATCTTTACTCTAGACTAGGGATACAACGATACCACTTTTTTCCAAACTGATACGATACCGATACTTGGATCTGAGTACTCGCCGATACCGATTACCGATTTCTTCTCTGTTTTCAATAGGAAAAGACTTTAAGGTAGATAAAAAGTAAAATATGTTCATATAAATGATCACAAAACTAAATGACAAGTTACAGTGAAGTCACTTTCAAGCAACTGCGTTGGTATCAGTTACTGGTATCTGTTAACTTTTACCAATACCGATACCAGTATCGGTATCGGTGCATCCCTACTCTAGACCTTTTAAAACATAATGTGTGTGATTTTAGCCTTCATTACATTTTAAATGCATGTCAGAATAAACACATGCGTGCAAAATGTTATTTGTGACAAAATAAGTTTAATAGCAGTTTTAGTCAAGTACATCGTTTTCATGATTGCTTGGATCTGAAATCAATATTGAAATATAATTGTTATTAAGTGCACAGCCTTAATATGATTTAAACCCTTCGTTGCTCTTTTTAAAATTCAAGACATTGAAGAAATGATAATCCTGTTTTCTCAACTCTATTTTCCTCCCAGATCAGCTTTCAGCAATAACGTCCGTGTGGCCTATGACCTTCTAAACCTCACTGGCTGTAAAAAACAAGTAGACGAGGCTCCTGAGGGCTCGGATGGCTCCTCCACGGACAGTTCCACTAGTGCAGGAGGAGGAGGAGGAGTAAGAGGAGGACTCTACACACAGACTTTACAGTGTCTCTGCAGTGAGGGTGGAGTCCCAGCCTCAACCTTCGCTCCACTCCTCCGGAGGCTCTGCTGCCACGACCATGAGGCCGTCCCCTGCGATGTCTTCCGCTACGGCGTGCTCACCTGTGCTGTTTTCTCAGACTACATCAGACAGGCTCAGAGGCTTTACGCTGAGGTGTGCTGCCCAGCTGAGGGGCCTGCCTCTCGGAGGCTGTGCCTGAACGTGCTGGGGACCTTAAAGGAAGCCTTGGAAACCTCACAGGGCTGCGACACTTACTACTGTGTTAATGCTAACACTAAAGCTAATACATCTCTGGAGGCTAATTTGAAAGCGATCCGCTATTTGCAGGCCAGTGCCAAGATCTCCCCTCTCAGGCTGGCCCAGACTATGGCTGGAGCACAGACGCTGGGGCCCGGTGGCGACATGGACGCAAAGGAATTTGAAGACGCAGCTGCAGAGCTGTTCATCGCTCGAGTCAAATTTGTATCTTAACTTAGTTCTTAAATAAATAACAAGCCACACTGTGTAGTAGTTTATGAAGTTACCTGTTACAGACCGCTTCCACAACAAGCAAATAAAACAAACATTGATCCAGATTGGCTGAATGTTTTTGAATGTGTTTTGCAGCAACTTTTCTAGAAGATTTCAAGCCTTAGGAATTTGTATTAGTTCTAAAGCTAATTTCTAAAACTCCATCTCAGCATGGGTTGACATTTTGTCTGCTTTATTGATTAAAAAAATACATTAAATGGGATTATTCAATCTGTGAAAAGCATCTTTAAAGGCATGAAATGGAAATGATCAAAATGCTAATTGATGACATTCCTTTTAGTATCTGTTTTGACCACACAGTCAACGTGGAGCAACATGGAGGACCTAAAGTCAAAGATGGAAGCACAGAGAGGACATTCAGGTGTGCCACAGATGTCTTCTTGGTTTTGTGTTTTATTTTAAACCTCACAATGGCCTGTGTGAGTTTGACTGCATTGTTTCTACCATTACACAGATGGTAAAACTTTATATTAAGGATTCCTTTATAAACGTCACCTAGTGCATCATTAAGCATTAATAACTACTGAGTGTCCTTACGTTTAGGACAAAGGGCTGTGGGGGTATCTGCTTAGTAATGCATTACTTAATTTTAATATTAAGATTGAGCAGTTGTTAATATGTTATTCAGTAGTTTATTAATGGTTAGTAATGTATTAAGTAATGTTAATAAAAAGGACTCTTATTGTAAAGTGTTAACACACAGATTAAAATGTAACTGATAACCTTGAACATGATCAAAGGTTCCAAAGGTGTAGTTTTCTAAGTTGGGATCAATGCCCCTTTTTTTGGTCCCAAAGCACTAAGTTTGGAGTCTTGAGATGATTTAGAGATAGCCCAAATAATGTGATATTATGCAAATTTGACTTGCTTTTAGCACCCCCTAGTGTCCGTTAGTAAAAGCAAACTTGAAACTTTCCTCAACGTGCTTTTGTCTTTTAAAAACCTTAATCTAACTGCTGAAATGTCTCCTCCGCCTTCATTAGTTTCTACAAGAGCGGTTTCATTAACCCTGTAAAGGGTCGTTTTAGCACATTAGCTCAAGAAAATTTTAAAATACAAAAATGTCGCATAGCATGCCTTTAGTTGAGGTCTTTGTTTAAAATAGACAAAACATTTTTTGTATAGCATATGCACCATGTAGGATTCTTATTTTGATTAAATACTATCATACTCTACAGACATGTATGTTGCAAGAAAGTTGCAGGTTCAAAACCTGCCTGTGCCTTTCTGTGTGGAGTTAGCATGTTCTCCTCATTGTCTGATTTTTTTTCTTGGTGCTCCAGCTTCCTCTCACAGGCCTAAAATGTGCATGTCAGGTTGATCAATGGCCCAATCCCAATACTTTCACTGCATCCTACGGTCTTCTGTGAAGTACAATTGGAGGAAGTGTACAGTAAGGCTTCAAATGCGTGGTACACAAGTGTGCAATTAATTGCCAAATTGGGACAGGGAGCGTTGCGTTATTGACTGCAAAGCATGCTGGGACGTTGGTCGCTGTGCTACTTTTTTTTCAAAACCTTTTTTATTAACGTTCAAACAACAACTTAATAATTTGAAATAAATGTACATTAATTGCTGCTTTGTCTAAAGCATTCAGAGTATCAACTAATCGCCCTAAAATCAACTGCTTTCATTAGAAAATACATATTTTCAGAAAAGACACTTGAGCCTTTTCTCCTGCAGCAATGGATTGTGGGCAATACACTTCACCCAAGGTCCGCATCGATGGGGACTTGGGATAAGTGCAAATAAAGGGTGCAAAAGGGGCATGATCAACTTCTGCACTTGAGAATCGGGACACTATGAACTCACACCCCTGGCCGGGATCACGCAATTGAAGGTTGCAAGCGTGGAAGTGTGAGTATTGGCATTGGGTCTATGACTCAATTGACCCTAGGTGTGAGCGAATGTGTTATTAGTTGTTTGTCTCTGTGTTGGACTGGCGACCTGTCCAGGGTGTCCCCCACCTCTTGCCTGATCACTGCTGGAGATAGACACCAGCTCTTTGTAACTCTACTGAGGATGAAAAGGTTAAGATGATGGATGTTTTAGTTGCTGATAGTGGTCTTCCTCAGGTGGCATGCAACTTGTCTCCATTAGCTGTTTTTCCACTTTGGGTAAAATAATCGATTGAATAATTTGCATCTCCTGGAATAAAATATACATGAGAGGAACAGAAAGAACATCAAACAGAATGTTAAAAGAAATTAACCTAAAAGAATGGGAAAACCTCTATTTAGCCAAAAAAAAGTGATCACATTATGGACTGAGAGAATGGGACAATCAGAAAACACCAGATACCAATCCTAGATTACAAAAGGCAATTAAGAGCAGGAAATTAGCCCAATGGATGATCAGCTGGGACAAGGGGACCATCCAGCTCTTCCACATCTGGGATCCAATTCTCCAGAATACGTCTGTCAGTGGTGGGTGAGGCCAACCTGGTGGACCTGACAGATCTGCTGACATCAAAACCTGGCAACATGTCAGAGGAACACTGCTGTCAACAGGAGATCGGTCCAAGATGGTGACGTGAGAGGTTAGTTTTTCCTGTGCTCGGTATCCAAAGTGCAGTTAACTTGAAAGGCTATATTGTGCACAGAATTTTTGACCCTTTTCAAACTGACCGCTGATTTATATAACTTTTGAAGACCTTTTTACAACATGTCAGCCACAGGGAAAAGAAGAAATAGCGCTAGGAAACCAGACTTGATAGCGGCTGCTGCTGGCGAGGACACCGTCAATGCTCTACTCGATAACTGCCACAATTATGCTGCTGTCAGCTCCATGACATTAACAACAGATGATTTTGAGGACTTTCCTCCTCTCCCCTGTACTCCAGTGAAGCCTCCTACTAAAAAAGGTAAAAGTGAATCATCTGACGATATTGTTGGAGCGCTTTCCAAGCTAATTAACACATGTTCCGACGAGCTAAAAAGTCTGATTCAGTTGAATGCAGCTCAAATCCTAAACCTGAAATGTGAGGTGGAGAACGTCTGCAAACACATGACGGAGGTGCAGGTTAAAGTGACACGTCTCGAAGATTCTTTTGAGAAAGAAAAGAAAGTTCTAGTGCCGTAGAGTCTCGTGTCACTGAAATGGAGAGGTATTCTAGAAGATGGAACCTGAAGCTGCATGGAATCTCCGAGACCGTTGAAGACAAGGATCTTCGCCAGAAGGTTATCCAGATATGTTGCAATATCCCACCATCTACCTTCGAAAAGCTCCCTGAAGCCACAGATATTGTTCATCGTCTTGGTTCCAAGAAATCCAATAATATTAGAAGTGTCTTGCTACAGTTTTCTTCTCGGAACAGCAGAGCAGAAATATGGGCTGCTGCGAAGAATTCATCTTTTCTTCGAGATAACCACCTGTGCTTCACCGAGGATCTCTGCAAAACTGACAAGGAAAACAGGATGAAACTCTGGCCTCTTGTGGAGAAAGCTCGAAAGGAAGGAAAAGCTGCCTATTTTGTAGGTGGTCATGCTTTCATTGAAAAGAAAGAAGTTTTACCCCAAATGTAGGTCATGAGATGTTTTCTGGCTGACATGTGTTCCATTACGTCATGTTAATATATTTTATGATGGGTTAAATATATGTTAAAGTTGCCATTAAGGCTGATGTTTACATGGATGCCGTTCTCAAGAAATAGAGACATTTATTGTTAGAATCTGCTGGCTTTATCGATCGTTTTCTGAAAGTCCAACTGTCTTTGTCTATTGTTTCGTTAAATGCCAAGGGTTTGAGGAATTGTTTGAAGCGCAAAGCGCTATTTTTATTTGCCAAAAAGTGCAGAACCGACTTATGCTTTTTCCAGGAAACTCATTCTGTTGCTGAAGATATGTCTTTTTGGAAAACTCAGTGGGGTAATGATGTTTTTATTTTCTCATGGTTCTCAACACTCAGCTGGGGTATGTACATTCAAGAATCTATTTACAGGACAGGTTTTGCATACAGATGCTGATTCAAATGGTCATTTTATCTGTCAGGTAATGGTTTTATGCAATAATATTTTTATAATCGTTAATATCTATGGGTTTAATGCTACTGCTGATAACAATAATTTACTAGAAAAAATTGAAGAAAAAATACTTCTTTGGACAACCAGAAATCCTAATGCTTACTTATTATTAGGTGGAGACTTTAATGTAGTTCTGGATAATGCCTTAGACGGACGGCTATCTGGGCAAACTAGCAGTGCCAGTAAGGACCTGAAGCTTTTAATGCAGAGGTTTAATTTAATAGACATCTGGAGAGAAACAAACCCTAATACACAATCTTACACATGGGCCAATAAACAGAGATCTCATTTATCCCGTATAGACTTGGCTTATCCCCAAAGAATTTAAAAACAAGTCGAATGCTAATATTCTCTCCACACCATTGACTGACCATAAAGCGATCGAGTCAAAAAATTTCCTAAGCCCTCAATCTAATTGCTTTACCAATGCTTACTGGAAACTGAATAATTCGATTTTATGCCACAAGGGAGTTAAAAATAAGGTTTGAGTCATAATCAGTTCCTTTTGGTCAGAGGCACTAAAGGAAGGCTCGTATGGTCTGAAATGGGAACTTCTAAAATTTGAAGTAGGGCAGTTCTTTAGGAAATATTGTTGCTGCTAAAAAAAAGAAAACCGAGGAAAATGAGATAATTTCGCTGATCACATGCCTAACTTCTATATGTCCAAATAAGTTGTCCCTTCAGGAGAAAGAGGCTTTGAGTGAATGTCAACTTAAGTTAGACATTATTTATCAAGCTAAAGCTGAAGGAGCATTTGTAAGATCTAGAAGGCAGTGGTTGGAGGAGGGGGAGAAAAACTCAGCTTATTTTTTTAAGTTAGAAAAATTTCATTCTACCAATAATACCATTAGTCAACTATGAATAAATATGAATGTATGCAATGACCTAAATCAAATTGCTCTTTTCTGTTAAAAATTTTACAAAGATCTTTATAGCTCTAACTACAATGAAGAAGCAGCTGCACGTTTCATAGAGTCTCTGGAAAACAATGCTACTAAAATTGACGATGCTGATAAAGAATATTGTGATCAGCCACTCTCCCTGCAAGAAGTTATAGACTCAATTACCAAACTAAAAAATAATAATGCTCCCGGAACGGATGGTCTTACCTCCGAATTTTATGAGGCATTCTCTGATGATATTGTTCCATTTTTACTACAAGTTTTTAATGAAAGTCTAATGAAAGGGTTTTTACCTCCTACTATGACACAGGGTTTGATTACACTTATTCCTAAACCAAAAAATATTTATTAGAAATAACTAACTGGCGTCCAGTTAGTTTGTTAAACAATGATTATAAAATATTGGCTGCCATTTTTGCAAAACGCCTAAAAACTTCTTTGGATTCAATAATTGATGCGTCACAGTCTGGTTTCATGACTAACAGACATATATCCAATAATATACGGCTAGTATGGGAGATTCTTGACTATTTTGATTTAGTTGATGATAATAGTTTCATTTTTTCTTAGATTTTTATAAAGCTTTTGATTCGATCGAACATCAATTTATATTTGCAGTTTTAAAATTATTTGGATTTGGCGAATTTTTTGTAATGCAGCTAATACTTTGAATGCCAATGGAAACAGTTCTATTATTTATTTATTTATTTATTTATTTATTTATTTATTTATTTTTCCTTCCGGCTCTTGGAGAGTACAGACGCTTTTTTTTCTCCTCTCCCTCCCTCCTCATCCCAAGGCTCTTTGTCCTGCCTTGTGTGCGCAACGCTTTCTGTATTTTTTCTGGAAACTGGAAATTATTAAAAATGGATCTGGTCAGTTGGTCTCAGCGTGATTGACAACATTTTTTCAGCGATGAGAATGGTAGAAGGGGCTCCCGGATGCCCCTCTGGGACAGAGCCAGCTGGGTATATCATGGACTCCTGGAAACAGTGGAACATAATCTGCCTCTCTCAACTGTCTCTAGAGGATTCTGAAGATGTCTGGATATTCGTCGTTTTGGTGTCAGGATTCCTGCTCTTTGGCCTGAGCGGTTACCTGGTTTACCGGAAAATTCACGAGCTTTCAAGGAATATTGGCTCAGTCCCGGAGCTCAGGGATGGAATGCATTGCGCTATGAATGCACAAACTCATATAATTGTCGAGATGAGTTGTAAGCTTGGAACTTTGGCTGAGATTGAGGCTCTGGCACAGAAGGTGGATTCCATCAAGGAGAGAGTTGATGGATCAGCATGGATTGGGATAGATTAATTATGCCATTATTTGATCTAGAGGGGTTGAAGACCAGCAGAACACTAAGGCAGAGAGGAAATGATCTCTGTCTGTACCCAAAACAATTCTTATCTGAATCTGGTGCCCTTGAGCCTCTGAGGCTGAAGTAAAAACTTCCCCCTCAGAAGAAATGTGGAATGCTGCAGTCACTATGGAAACTCTTTCTCCCCTATCCCAGCCTGGGCGGGACTGTGACCGGTGAAGGCCGTGGAACCGTATCTAGGAGTCAATGTGCCCTCTAACCCATTATCTCCCTCCCCTGTCCAAACGGAGGTGATGAGCGCTGCTCCATGCGGCTGCACGCTCTGAAGTGAGGAGAGCCCAACCCTACCTCCCCACCTAGTGGACACTTATGTTGTGTAATGTCTGAAGTCTGTGTGCATATCTGTCTGAGGTGGGTTTTTTTGCACAGCAAAGCTACCCTCTCTGTGAGAGTAACTCGAAGTGCCTTTTTTCCCTCCCCCGACTCTATCCTCATATAAACCCTCTTGATCTATTACGGTAGCGCGACTCAGGTTGCGAATGACCACAGTCACCAATTCTTGTCATGTATGTATGTATGTATGTCTGATCTCAGAATTGTGTGTACTGAAACTCTAATTTCCCTCTGGGATTAATAAAGCATTTTTGAATTGAATTTGAATTGAATTAAATTAAAAAGTGGTACCTCTCACAGATTTGAGCTAAAACAAGGCATACGTCAAGGCTGCCCATTTTCTCCTTACTTGTTTCTTCTCTCTGCTCAACTCTTAGCCACCCATCCAAACCATAGTCAGTTGAAAGGTATGTGTGTCGCAAACAGAAATGTTCTCATTAGTCAGTTAGTTGATGACACAACTCTGTTCTTAAAGAATTCTGCCCAGATTCCTGTAGCATTAAATATTATTAAAAAATTCTCAGATGCTTCTGGACTTAAACTCAATAAAAAAAAGTGAATTAATGGCTGTCAAAGATAACGTGTTGTCTTCAATTTGTAATATTCCAATTAAAGAAACTATTAATTACTTGGGTATAGTTGTCTCTAAAAACCATTGTACCAGGAGTAAGTTGAACCTAATGCCAATATTAGAAAATACCCCCAAAAATGTTTTGTTCATGGCTTCAAAGAGACCTATCATTAAAAGGCAGAACATTAGTATCTGAAGCTGAAGGCTTATCCAGGCTTAATTATGCTGCCATCTCATTAGATATTGATAAAGGGATATGTAAAGATATTGATAAAATTCTTGTTAATTTTGTTTGGAAAAACAAAATCCATTACATTAAAAAATCTGTAATAATGAATACTTATGCTAACGGCGGTCTAAATTTTCTGGACTTCACCACTTTGAATAACACATTGAAAGTCAACTGGATTAGATATTGTTTGAAAAAAAAACCCCCATCGATATGGCATTTCATCCCACATCATGTATTCTCTAAAATTGGTGAATTAAAATTCTTTTTAATATGCAATTACAATATTGAACGGATTCCAGTAGCTCTTTCTAACTTTCATTAACAGGCATTACTTGCATGGTCACTTATCTACAAGCACACTATTTCTCCAAACAAGTATCTTATATGGAATAATAGGGGCTTGCTTTACAAGAACAAATCATTGTATATTGAGAACTGGTTTAGGAACAATATTTTAATGGTGAAACAACTGCTTGATAAGAATTATACTCAGTTCCTTGATAAATACAATATGCCAGTGACACCTAAACAATACGCAATTGTTTTTGATGCCATTCCTTGAGGGGTTCAGATACTTTTCAAAGGTTATACCTCTGTACATACAACTCGATTTTCATCTCTGAATCCACTGGATACACCTGTGGGGAAATTGTGTTTAACTGACTCCTGCAACAAGAACAGAAGTATTCGTAATTTATTTCAGATGGACTGTGTCTGTATCTTTTTTGTGGTTGCACATTGGAACAGCATGTACCCTGATACTGACTGGAATAGAACATGGACACTTCCAAACAGGTTCTTCTTGACCAACAAAGTTAAAGAAATATGGGCTGCATGGTGGCGCAGTTGTTAGCACTGTTGCCTCGCAGCACGAAGGTTGCAGGTTTGAAACTCAGCTTGGCTGTGCTCTTTCTGCGTGGAGTTGCGTGTTCTCCCCATGCATGCGTGGGTTTCCTCCGGGTACTCCGGTTTCCCCCACAGATCACAGCATGCCCTATAGGTTATAAATTGAAAGTCGCTTTGGATAAAAGCGTCTGCTAAATGAATAAACATAAACAAACATAAACGTCATATAAGATCATCCGTTGGTGTTATCCTACTAAATCCTTCCTTACTATACAAAAAAGACGTTGATGCACCTTTTGCAACTCGGACCCAGAGACTGTTTCTCACTTATTTTGGTCATGTACATTTACTCAAGGACTATGGAAGGCTTTATGTTTGTTTGTGAAAGAAAGAATTCTGCCTTCCTTCCAACTTCAATATAAAAATGTGCTGTTTGGATGAACAAAATATGAAAAAAAAATGAACCTGCTTTTTTATAGTTAATTTGTTTTTACTTTTGGCTAAATTTTATGTTCATAAATGCAAAATGCTGAAAACCCAACCTTTATTCTGCATTTTCAAAAAGGAAGTTAACGCTGTAAAGACACTGAAAATATGTTCTGATTATAATATCATAATGACTTTGCTCTGACCTCGACAACTTAAAACATGTATCGTTATTCTTTTTTCTTCTTTTATTTATTTTAACCAAAATGAGTAAATATCAGGTTCTGTATGTCAACAAACCCCTGGCACCTCCTGTTAATTCATGTTATATTTTATGTCACTAATTTGTTTTTGCTTGTTTATCCTCTTTGTAATTCTGCTGCAAGTTGGAAATAAAGTTTGGAAAAAAAATTAAAACACTGCTGTCAACAGTCTGAACATGTAAAGGTTAGAAAATAAAAGTGTTTTTTACATGTTAGAACAATAGAACCTGACAAAAGTCCACTATGTCTAGATATCTAACAACTCAACAAACATTTATTTCATTCACTATAACTGATGCAAAATCTTAAAATAATCCCCATAAATTATTAAATAGTGCAGTATCGGTGTCAGTTGTTGGTGTTTTCAGTTTAATCTTGTTAATTTAACATTTTTATAATCTCTATAGCTAAACCAGAAAAATCTGGGGTCTCGAGTCTTTTACTTTACAGTCACAATAATTTGGGTCCAGATTGTAGAAGTGCATACTTCTGGCCACTAGATGGCAGTACAACGAAAAGCGGCACAACGTCTAAACCGGAAGTTGATTAGTAGGCTATTTATTATTGTGTTTGTTGTGGCTGTGATAGACATTCATGATCCTGTCACATTGTAACTTCGTGTCTTACGTGCTTTTTCTCTCTTAAACTGAATCTGCCAGAATGGTAGAGGACGAACAGCTTCGCTCGTTGATGTTTATCACGACTTATTTGCTGTTGAAGCGCAGGAGAGATTTAATTAGCGCCAACATCCAGAGACGTGATGAAATCCAGAGACGCATCCGCCACCGACAGTACTTCTTCCAAAGACAGAGGAGGATGCTCATGGTCAGTAAAACCAGACATCTATGGGTAAACCCACTGAAATATTAGCGCACTATATTAAAACGTCTATTACAATGTAATAGAAATGTTGTATCGACATCCACAACTGGGAATGTAGTAAAAAAAACAACCATAGAGTAATTTTGAATAAATCTATTTTATTATTCAAGGGTTAGTCTTATTATAAAACATAGTGTAAATATCTATAAATGTGTTGTACTTTGTTAAAAAGAACACGTCAGGTATTTACAGGGGCTTTTTTTATTTCCATAACTAATATTTCAGGATCCTTAAATGCTATTTTTCCTCAGACACGGTTTTTCCACATCCATGTTTGCCCAGGATTTTCACATTCAGACATCTGAAAGTGTTTTTACTGTTTCTAACTTGTTGGATTTTTAAAATGTAAATATTATCAGATATCCCCAATATCATTTTTGCTAATTAATTAATTATAAAATGTATTTATTTATTTTTGTAAAATTACACCTCATCAGGGTTTTCACAGAATTCTATTTGCAACGTTTTGTCATTTTCATTTTTATTCCAATGACTGCAATCTGAAAAAGATATTTAACGCTGAAGATATTTTTCTACGTTGTTTTTATTTGTTTGGATATTCATATATTTTTTAGCAATATCTACAAATATTTTATTACAAATAAATTAAAAAGTATTTTCTGCCCTCAGATGATGATAGCAGGAGGCCTCCGCTCCAGTGTCCACATCCGCACACGTCCCTGGACCACCACTCCCAGCTCTGATTGGTGGGAGCGGGTGGTAATGACAGAATTCCAGCCCTGTGATTGGCTGGATAAATTCCGAATGAGCCGAGAGACGTTCTTGTACCTCTGTGACAAGCTGAGGCCCCGTCTGGCTCGTCAGGACACCAGCTTTCGCCAGGCGCTGCCAGTGGAGAAACGTGTTGCCGTGGCCTTGTGGCGCCTTGCGTCAAACATTGAGTACCGCACCATTAGCGCCCTGTTTGGTGTGGGGAAGTCCACCGTGTGTAGGTGTGTTAGAGACATGTGCCATGCCATCGTGGCCCTCCTCAGCTCCATTTACCTGCGGCCTCCCAGCGAACAGGAGCTGAAGGACTCGGCTCAGCTCTTTGGGTCTTTTTGGGGTTTCCCTCACTGTGTTGCTGCCATAGCAACACTTCACACAGCCATCATCACTCCATCCAGCAACGCCTCTGACTACTACAACCCTGCTGGCTGGCTCTCCGTCTTCTCTCAGGTAGGGAGAGCTTTTTTTTTTTTTTAACATGTTTCTGATCGTTCTGTTCAGATTCAGACTGACTGTGCGGTTGCAGGTGGTCGTCAGCGGCCGAGGTCTCTTCTGGGACGTCTGCGCCAGTTTCCCAGGTGGGACCGATCCAGCAGACATCTTAGAGAACTCATCGCTGTGGGTCACTGCTGCAGAAGGTGGACTGTCTCCAGCTTCAACTTCTACTTTCATGGGGAAACCCCTCAGGTGGAGTTCTTAAGAGAAATTTTATGTAAAGTTTCCAACCTGCCTCGGGTTTTAAAAACAATAATTATGAGATGCAGAATAACGTCAGAGGGAATTACTATAAGTGAATGAGCACAAAGTGATCCGTTTCAGATGAAGCGTAAAAAAAACCCCCATCTGCAACATTTGATGTTATTCTGAGTATTTTTTTATTCATGCTCAGAAGTAAAGACTCATCTGTTGGTGCTTGTGAGTTTGTTGTGTTGCTGATCGTCTGGCTCCAGGTATGTGCTGCTGGGGGAGGCCTGCTACCCGCTCCAGAGTTGGCTGATGAAGGCTTATCCTGAGGAAAAGAGCCGGGGGGTGAGTCACGGAGCGCTGACGGAGCCGCAGCAGCTGTTCAATCGTCGGCTCAGTAGAGCGCTGCGTGTGTCTGAGGAGGCGCTGCTGAGGTTGAGGGCGCGCTGGCAGTGCCTGAGCAAAAGGAACGACTGCGGTTTGGATGTGGTGCCCACCATGATTCTGGCCTGCTGCATTCTGCATAACTTGTGCGAGTCCCACGGGGACGCCTTTAAAGCTGAGTGGCAGGGAGAGGTGTCGGAGGCAGAGAGTCCTCGCCCCGATCACAAACCGTTCCTCTCCACCTGCATGGACCAGAGAAACGCCGAGCAGGTCAGGAGCCTCTTCTGTGACTATTTCCAGCTTCAAAGCAACTGACTTGAATCTTTGGAAGCCCTTTAATCAGCTGGTTTTACACATCCTGGTGCAAATTTGAAACACCAGGATGTCTGAAAAATGCACAAACAGCATCTTTACTAAAAAAGGAGCAATGTTGAAAAATTTGCAGAACTTAATAGATTCTAGTAGTTTTCTACAGGTGGCATTTCTGTGGCTTTTGATCTAAAATGTCAAAACTTGTTTCAAATGATTGTTTATTTTAAAGCCTTTATCCTGATCCAGAGTGATCTCCGTGAGTTGAGTTGGTTTGCATATATTAAGGAAAACTTGAAATAATTTAAAGCTTTTGGAACTAAATGCTTTTCATTCGATGTTAGAAAGCTCCCCAGAGACGAAGCTAACCCAAACAGGTGTGACAGAACCCTAGCATGCACCGTTTAACAAACATGATCAGTTACTCACAGTGAAATGCTTTTTATCCTCATTAGAGCCTCCCTGTGACAATTCACACCTTTATTGTCTTTTATTACTTTGTGACATATCTACAGGGAGTGCAGAATTATTAGGCAAGTTGTATTTTTGAGGAATAATTTTATTATTGAACAACAACCATGTTCTCAATGAACCCAAACAACTCATCAAAGCTGAATGTTTTTGGAAGTAGTTTTTAGTTTGTTTTTAGTTTTAGCTATTTTAGGGGGATATCTGTGTGCAGATGACTATTACTGTGCATAATTATTAGGCAGCTTAACAAAAAACAAATATATACCCATTTCAATTATTTATTTTTACCAGTGAAACCAATATAACATCTCCACATTCACAAATATACATTTCTGACATTCAAAAACAAATCAGCGACCAATTTAGCCACCTTTCTTTGCAAGGACACTCAAAAGCCTGCCATCCATGGATTCTGTCAGTGTTTTGATCTGTTCACCATCAACATTGCGTGCAGCAGCAACCACAGCCTCCCAGACACTGTTCAGAGAGGTGTACTGTTTTCCCTCCTTGTAAATCTCACATTTGATGATGGACCACAGGTTCTCAGTGGGGTTCAGATCAGGTGAACAAGGAGGCCATGCCATTAGTTTTTCTTCTTTTATACCCTTTCTTGCCAGCCACGCTGTGGAGTACTTGGACGTGTGTGATGGAGCATTGTCCTGCATGAAAATCATGTTTTTCTTGAAGGATGCAGACTTCTTCCTGTACCACTGCTTGAAGAAGGTGTCTTCCAGAAAATGTCAGTAGGACTGGGAGTTGAGCTTGACTCCATCCTCAACCTGAAAAGGCCCCACAAGCTCATCTTTGATGATACCAGCCCAAACCAGTACTCCACCTCCACCTTGCTGGCGTCTGAGTCAGACTGGAGCTCTCTGCCCTTTACCAATCCAGCCATGGGCCCATCCATCTGGCCCATCAAGACTCACTCTCATTTCATCAGTCCATAAAACCTTAGAAAAATCAGTCTTGAGATATTTCTTGGCCCAGTCTTGACGTTTCAGCTTGTGTGTCTTGTTCAGTGGTGGTCGTCTTTCAGCCTTTCTTACTTTGGCCATGTCTCTGAGTATTGCACACCTTGTGCTTTTGGGCACTCCAGTGATGTTGCAGCTCTGAATTATGGCCAAACTGGTGGCAAGTGGCATCTTGGCAGCTGCACGCTTGACTTTTCTCTGTTCATGGGCAGTTATTTTGCGCCTTGGTTTGTCCACACGCTTCTTGCGACCCTGTTGACTATTTTGAATGAAACGCTTGATTATTCGATGATCACGCTGCAGAAGCTTTGCAATTTTAAGACTGCTGCATCCCTCTGCAAGATATCTCACTATTTTTGACTTTTCTGAGCCTGTCAAGTCCTTCTTTTGACCCATTTTGCCAAAGGAAAGGAAGTTGCCTAATAATTATGCACACCTGATATAGGGTGTTGATGTCATTAGACCACACCCCTTGTCATTACAGAGATGCACATCACCTAATATGCTTAATTGGTAGTAGGCTTTCGAGCCTATACAGCTTGGAGTAAGACAACATGCATGAAGAGGATGATGTGGACAAAATACTCATTTGTCTAATAATTCTGTACTCCCTGTATTTGATCTATACCTCTATGCAATTATTTATTTTTCAGAAAACAAAAGTAGCTTTTATTTTGATTTTATTTAAATGTCATTCATTTGGTTGTATTGTTTCTCATTTTATAACTAGTTTACATCACCTAATTTTTTACTGTTTTATTTCTTCTGCTTTTCCCCAAAATTACATTATTGTGTCATCAATGCCCTTTGTTTTGTAATTAGTTACTACATTTATTATTTTTTGAATGATTGCATCTATAAGTAATTTTCATTTTTACTGATATTTATTTGTACTTTATTTGTTATAGTGTTATAACAACTTTTTAAATAAAGTTTGATTGATTTCCCAAATAGGGAGCCTGACTCACTCACACCTGGGATAATGCAGACACTAATAAAGAACCTAAGCTGCCATAGTTATGGTGTGTAGGGGGAACTGGAGCACCCAGAGAAAACCTACGCATGCGTGATGAGAACACGCTCACTCTACACAAAGCAAGCCACAGCTGGGATTTAAACCTGCAACTGTCTTGATTTGAGGTACGTGTGCTCCATGCAGCCCCATTTTTGGTGGTAATTTGGTTAAAATTATGAAACAATCATTAATTTACCAAACTAAACATAAATTGGCATGGTCTACAAAATTTTATTAATCTAAGGGGATTTTTAAATAGCTTAAGAACATTTTTACATTTACTAGCTTTGAAATTCCATTATTTAGCGTCCTGTGTTGCAACTGGGCTAGAAGACTTGTAGTATACTTGTGAAGCAACGTTTAATGCAGCGGAAGTTTCTGGTGAAGAGGTTCTTTACCCGCGTGACACGAGTCCCATTTTTGGTTCTTTTTAAAACACAGGAAAGGTTTTTTCTTTACCTTGCTGACGTACGTTTCCTTTGCTGACTGCAAAACATCCTCAGAGCTGACGCTGATGGTGGCGTCACTTCGCACTCCGTTTATCCGCGGCAGCAGAGGACGTTGTCGCCCTCTGCTGCCCGATCTCCCCTCTCCAGTGATGCAGTCCCATGAGCGAGCCAATGAGTAAACTCCATCGTCATTTTTATAGTTTTAACTTATCACGCCCATACATGCCTTTTTTTAATTTAATTTAGAGAAACTTTTGGTTCATGTTCATGCATCCCTGAATGTTAAGAGGAAGGGGGTTGAGAGGAGGTGGAGGGGTACAGAAGAGGGCCATTGAAGAAAAATAAAAAGTATTCTGACTTTTTTCTCAGAATTTTGACTTTAACGGAGGAAAAAAGTCATAATTCTGACTTTTTGTTATTTTTACTTTCATCTCAGAATAAAAAAAACTGAATTCTGAGATTAAGTCAGAATACCTTTTATTTTTCTTCAGTGTCCCTAATCCTCCTCCATAGAGGGGAGAGTATGGGCTCTTTGTGTTCAAAAATAAAATTATTTTTAGTTTTTTTATAGTTTACTTTATCACGCCCATACATGCTTTTTTTAAATTTAGAGTTCATTAAATGTTCATCTATTCATGAATGTTAAGAGGAAGGGGGATTGAGAGGAGGTGGAGGGGCACGGAAGAGGATTATGGCCATTGAATAAAATAAAAAGTATTCCGACTTTTATTTCAGAATTCTGACTTTTATCTCAGAATTTTGTCTTTAATCTCAGAATTCTGACTTTTTTAAACTTTCATCTCAGAATAAAAAAGTCTGAATTCTGAGATTAAAGTCAGAATACTTTTTATTTGTCTTCAGTGTGCCTAATCCTCTACCATAGAGGGGAGAGTATGGGCTCTTTGTGTAAAAAAAATAAATAAAATTGGGAGTTTTTTTTACCCTTCAATTCTTTATTCTATTGTCATTCCATGGACAAATGTGTTATTTGAGAATTAAATGTTTAATAAAATATGTTGTATGTATTTATTTGGCTCTTGGGATTGAATATTATATTTAGGTTTTTATGCATTATAAAAGTTAAGTTTGTTGAGTTAGAATACACAATGTAGTTTGATTGGTAATTGAGTAAGGCTTTCTTGACAAGTTGAGTTAACTAAATGGATGGTGGGGCATTGGTTAAACTAATTATCTTAAGTTAATGTAACTTTTGTTTTTTGTATATTCAACTTAAATCTTTTAATTTAATCCCATTAAGGCCTTAAGTACATTGAACATACTCAGCTGCATAAATTCAACTAATTCTTCATTACTTAAAAAATTCAAGGCAACGGGTTGCCTTGGTTTTTTTAAGTAGACTGAACTTATTGGGGTTTACAGTGCACCTACTTAGAGGCTATAATTCCAGCTTTTTGATTCAATACATTTCCCTCCCAATTCCACCTAAAGCAAAAGAAAACCACTTCAAAATTTTGCATGCCATTAATCCGTCCAATGATTATTTACACAAGAAGTTCAATATCGATATACATGCATGCACTTTCTGCACTAATGATGTTGAAACAGTAGAGCACTTTTTCTATTGGTGTGATAATACTAGATGTTTTTGGTTAGCTTTTCAGCACTGGACAATGCAAAAAAATATCCACTTCCCCCTGTTAACATTTCAAACTATTAGATTTGGTTTACAAACAGATAATAAAACTTTACAATTTGGGATTAATAATTTGATTATATTGGCTAAATATTTTATCCGTAAGTGTCGTTTCTTGAAAACCTCCCCAACTTTTGTTGCTTTTAAAAATGAAGTACTTCTTTTGAAAGAATCATTAAAACATTGCAAATTAGACAAAACACATATCCTATTTGACTTTTTGAAACAGCTTTGTGAATAATGTTAAAATTTACAAATGCGTAACAATACTTAAATGTGTTCCTGTTATCTATTTCTCTTTCCCTCTTCCTTCTGTTTATTGACATGTTCTGATACACTTTATCGACTACTTTTTCTCTATTTGATGACTGATAAGTTCTTATCCTTTTATATATACATTTGTTTACTAAAGTTTTGTTTACGCTGTATTGTCATAATTTCATTTAAAAAACAACTGTGATTTGCATTCATTTTTTCGTTTTTCCGGGGGCCCATGAGCCGACCGGAAAGGGAGGAGGCTCCCTGTTCTGCAGTTATAACATTTGGCCACATGATGCCGCTGTTGTCCAAGAACAAGTCCAACCTGTTAATGCGGCGCTTGTGTTATGCTAATTTTAATGAAATTTGTGTTGTTTATCTAATAATTGTCCGCTTTTGTATTGACTTTATTCAGATTTAAGTATAATAAAATATATTTCATTGATTCTGAGTAAGACCTTTAAGATGGAACGAAATGGAACATATGAGTTTGAGGTTTCTTCTTTTTTGTGTGTGTGTGTGTGTGTGTGTGTGTGTGTGTGTGTGTGTGTGTGTGTGTGTGTGTGTGTGTGTGTGTGTGTGTCTCATCGACCCAAAAGGGATCTGGTGTACAGATCCCACCCAGAGACCCGCCTCGTTCATTCAATTGGTCTGGCCCGAACCTGTTTCACGCAGTCGGCCGTCTGTCAGTCAGCACCACGCTGCCCTCCTCCGCCTCGGCTGGCATCATCCTGCTGTGTGCCCACCTTATTCCAGCGACCATCCCTCTCTTTGATGTGATTTATACCAACAGCAAGAACCGCCGCATTTTCTCTATTTTCTACGTCTTATTTGTAGCTTTATGTTTTACAATCAGGATGCGCTGGGGGTGTTGTCCTGTTTTTGTTAGCTAGGCGGACAAATTCCTTCAACCAGCCTGCTGTTTCAATCACTGCAGGCGGACACTACATCAGTCGACGCGCCGTTTGGTGAGCTAGCGGGTTAGCAGCGCTGCCTTTCTAGCTGTAATTTAGCTCAAATTGGCTGATATTGGGCTAAGCTTGGGGACACTGCTCAGACAGCTGCCACTGGTTTGGATGCCGCGACACTGCAGGTTGCAACTCGGAGAAGCCACTCGTTCTCCCGGCTCCATCTCCCGTGATTTGCGGTGAACATCCGGGTGAAGTCGCAGCTCTTCTCGGCTGGGGGACAACTTGACAGCGAGGCCCCTTGGCTTGTCTCCCCTCCCCCAGCCCCGCCGTCCGTTTCTGTAATACTGACGACAGCCTCCTCGAACTCGGGGGTTGGAGAGGAGCAGGAACCGTGAAGCTGAGGTGTTGGTCCGGTCCCGTTTTTAAACCGGGCTGCCAAAACCAGGGAGGATGACTCTGGAGTCCATGATGGCTTGTTGCCTGAGCGAGGAGGCGAAGGAGTCGAAACGAATCAATGCAGAAATTGACAAACAACTCCGCCGAGACAAGCGAGACTCCAGGAGAGAACTGAAATTACTACTACTCGGTATGTTGTGCGATTATATTCAAACACTTTAATATATGTCGTGTTGCTGTGTGGACAACTAACCGTCTTGGGCCTTCTTGGCAATGCTAGCATTTAATGAAACTGAGGTTGGCTAGCTGGTAGCTTGATTTACATATTACAAACATTCTGGTGTGATATTTTTTAAACAAATGAGTGTCGTGTTTCCCCCCATTTTTGTTTTTATGTTACTTATTTGGCTCGTCCAGGTGCGTAGCAGCGAGCATCAGGGACGGGCAGTGGAGCAACGGGGCCCAGTTACTCCTCGTTCCAACCAATCATTCTGATGCAAACATGAAAAAACACATTATTGAACCTCCAGATGTGATTTTTATTTGTGGGATCTGCTGTTATGTCATTCTTGTATACAAAATGTTTTACTTATTCATTGTACTTTAATCCATTCAAATCTTGAATATGAGAATATTTGAGTCGCAGTATAAATTATGCATTTTTTCAAATGCTTTAACAGTTGCTCACAGATATTACCACTGCAGAGACAGCAGCACAGCTAATGTGTTCGATCACCTAAATCTGCACCATATATCCTAATTGAGTGCAGAGTTAAACTTTAATGACATGCTGAGAGCCTTTCAGACTTAATGTCTGAAATTGCACAAGCACGTTGGTAAATTCGATAACTGTTTTACTTTGGTGACTAACTCAATTTAACCTGTTTAAATCTATACAGCAGTAGTAGTTACAGCGAACACCTGCATTTATGTATTTAACATGTTTAAGATGATATTTGTATACAAGTCTTTAAAGCTGCCCACTCAGTCAGTACATTTTTGCTCTAAATGTTCAAATTTAGTTAAAATGTGGATTTAAAGTAGGATTGTGCATTTTTGAATAATCTGTACTTTCTTGCAATAATAAGAGAATCAATTTAAGTGGCATTTTTATATTTTATCATCATTATTATACTTTGTGTCAAGTTTTTAAATGTAAATATTTTTAGAATGTTGTCAAATTTTCACCTATGTCATATTTCATTGCAATTTAAGCTATTCTTAAAAGATTTGTAGATTTGAGGTATTTTGTTTATTTGATAGCTTTTCTGCATCTTAAGCCTTAGCTTCTTCAAGCAAAGAAGCAGGTATGATTTCAGACTGTAGCATGGCTTCAGTACTTTGACTTTTCTTAAGGCAATTAGGCTGCATTTATGCGCAGATTATCACCCCAGTATCATTCCATTACTGATTTACTGACAATGTGTGGTCAGATCGTTTCTTTAGATTTGTAACCTACATTCTGAGCCCAGCTAACGTCACTAAAGCTCTGCACACTATTCCTGATGAACCTTTAGTTTGTTTTTGTATTATTTGTGCAACTTCCAGCCATTATAGACAAATGTGCATACTTTTAACACACCTAATGGACTCTGGAACAATAGAAAAAAGCAGGTCCATTGGGTTTTTTTCACCAAGTTGCACAACATATGAATGACTAGAAAATTCCTTTAGATGCCTCATGAGTTTTTGCTTGGTGTTCAATCAATAACTGCTGCATTTCTCTTTTTGCTCAGTAGGCTTTTTCAAAAATCTACCCTTCCAGAAAACAAGGATACTGAGGGATTTGCCCCCTCATCTTGGAGTCTAGCTGAGTAGGTTAGCTATTTTTATAGCCGTTGTGTGGGCAGGTGGAAGCTGCTGTTGAATAAGTTGATCTGTACTGCATTGATTCATAGTTCTGTGGACACAAAAAGGAACAGTCGGCCACGGTTCTGCACAAATTGTGTTCCTTTCTGGAATTTTTGACACTTGATGTCACAGATTCTCGTGCTCATGATGGCGATCCACCGGCTGCTCAGAGCTTCTGAGGTAAAAGCTTATTGGTGGAGAGGTAGGAGAAGCAGGTGACCATTTTTAGGACAATTAAACTTATCTAGGTTGCATCCTTGGTTTCAAAACGTTTGCTCCCATTTCTCACCCACCAAAAGCAGCCCTGGATATTTGACATGTGTCTCCTTTTTATTTCCCTGCTGAATACCTCAACTCAGCAAAGTAGGCCACACTAGAGCCATATCATCGATGGGACGTTTTCTCTTTAATGTCATTACATAATTTATCTCTGTGACACGTTTGTGTCTGGCTGCCAAGGTGAACGTGTAGAAAAGGCTGCTTGTTTTTTTTTTTTTTTTTTTAATGTTTGTGCAGCAGTAATGTTTCTTCTGCTGGATCATCAGTAAAGAGCTGGATGGACTCTTTTTGCATGCCAAACACTCTTGTTTTAGTCTTTCACTTTGCCAAAGAGACCCTTATGTTGATCTTGGGGACTTTTCTGAAAGTGTCCGTGTGAAAGACAGAAAGCAAGGAAGAGCTGCAATTAGCCATGACGTAAGTGATGGTTCTGTGGAAGTTAAGTCCATTAGCGTGTGCCTGGATAAGGACGTGTAAGGCAGGATTAGTCCAGGTTTTAATAGGCTTGGTTAAACACATCTGCTGCTCAGACTTTCAGATGTCACCGACTACTATTATCCTCTGGCATTATTCAACCTTGGTGAGCCGCTTGCTTCTCCACACCTCACTGGAGGAGGCAGACGATGTTTGTTTCTGAATTTTAAACCGCATGCGCCACAGTGGCACCACTTTTATAGCTCTGCGTAGTTGTGGATGCGCCCAACTGGCAGTCTGCCATGTAAGACTGACCATTTAAACATTTTGGGATTAGGTAGGGCTGCACGATATTAGGAAACCTGCGGTATTCGATAACAGTGATAAATATTGTGATGACGATATTACTTGCGATAAATAAAAATTTAACTCGGGAACAAAAATAATCAAAAACAAAGAAATAAAAATGAGAAAAGCAAAAGATGTGAGGAAAAGGAAAAGAAAATGAACAAGAAAAAATCAGTGGATCCTGGGAAAAGCAGAAAGAGCAGAACAAAGCTAACTCAGGTGTTTGTTAACCATCAAAATTAGATGCCATCCGCCTCGGGGGGTGGGCATCTGACCTAGGAGTGCCCACCCAATTGGCCAAATGGGTGAAGAGCTCTATTTGATTTGTTAATAAACGTCATGCTTCCATTTGACTGACAGAATGCATTATGTGTAGCAAACATTTGAGCTGACCATTCATTGCGATATTAATCTGTTCTTTTCGATATGCATATTGTGCATGCTGATATTGCGATAATGATATATTTACGATATATCGTGCAGCCCTAGGATTAGATGTTTTGACCAAAACCAGGGACTGAAAACATTCCCGTTCTCTCACGATCCCCATATTTAATCATTGTGTAAGTGAACTTCTAGTATCAAGTTCCATCTTGGGTAAATATTGAGCTTTTCTAACGTTATAGTGTCAGCATCTCAGTGTAGGCACAGGAGATACAGTTTGTCGTCATTTTAGCTGATCTTGCAAGTGTGTACCCAACAGCTTAATCTAGTTAAGTATGCACAGTTTGAACATAATATGCTGCTGCCGACTGCCATAGCGTTCACACTAAAATTGGATTTAATAAAGAATGGGTGAAGCTAAAATCAATAAGCTGATGATAATTAAATAATCTGTACTTAAAATGACCTAAATGTTAGCTTCTTTTGTCAAGTTTACGGTTCTACATAAGAAAAAAGGGAAAAAGTTGCTACATTTCTAAAACCATTTTCCCTTCTTTGTCAGATCCACCCATCCTTTTACTCTTATTTCCTGGCACAGTTTATCTGGCCTTGTATGTTGTGCCAGAAAACCAATGTCTTGACATCACAATTAAAGACTTGTTTATTACCACACCCTTCATATTTTTCTTTATTGCTAGCAAAACAGAGTGAGTGAATATTATCCACTTATTCTGAGTAACTGCTCAGTCCGGGCTGCTGCAGTGCCCACAGTCTGAGCTGTATGTGCCATATCAGGTCATAGTGACAAAATCCTGCTCCACAGGCCGCTGGTTTGACTCTACTTGGTCAAAACACAGCGAGCCAGAAGCGACGGCCTTTGCTGCCTTGGGTAAATGAGCTGCTGGAGTGGTGAGGAAGGTAAGACTGTTATATAATCTGTTTCCAAACATAGTCTCAGAAATCATTAGAAAAAAAAATCATTTGAGATGTTCATGATTTTATAGCTGTAGCCTTGTGTCAGCAGAACATCTTGTTTCCAGGTTTTTAGAAGAACGGTTTGATTGAACCAGGAAGAGGTGAAGAGGTTAGGCTCTGATGTTTATTGCTGACCCCACTTCTCTTGCCAAGCAGTCTTATTTTGATCATATATGGCAGTAGGGATGTGATGTTCCAATTCTTTTCGTGTGTGTGTGTGTGTGTCTGTCTTTAATGCCATTAAAATTGGAGCGATGGTCAGGTATTACTGGAATCTGCTCAGATCTCACATTTTGAAATATAAAAATAATCGTGTTAATTGAATGTAGTTGAAATTTTATTTTTAAAGCGCTTATAAAATCTGAAGTATGTGCTTAATACAAATAATATAAATCTTTAACTGTAACTTTGCCCCTCTCTCGATGACTATTACAGGCGGGCACCAGTTCCTTAAGCAGGGACAAGTCTGTAAAGAGAAATTAATTAAATATTTAATTAATATAAAAAATGTGCACAAAATGTTTAAATGGGTCATTTTTAGAATTAAGATGTGCTCTATTAATGGTCACAATCCAACCCATGAACATTTTTGGAGTACTATGCAAGTCTCGAGTCACCCCCTTGGCAGATTGGGTTGGTTTTTTACTTTTGTCTCTATTTGTGTATTTATGTTTGTAGTGTTTCAAAAGTTCTTTTGAGCCATTGGACAGATTTAATCAATCTGAGAAAGAAAAAATAGGACGAAACATTTTACAACTGACTTTTGGTCCCAGCTCTATTCATGATGGCTACTAGGGCTGCACGATATTAGGAAAACCTGCGATATTCGATAACAGTGCTTAATATTGCGATATCGATATTACTCACGATAAATGAACAAATACTAAAGTATGCAGTGTTGATGTCGTCTGGCGTGTGATGTCTGCTCTGGGTTCAAAG